GTCTGTGAGACTCTTTTTTTTTTTGATCCGGTCATGGGGCCTGAACTCTGGGCCTGGGCGCTGTCCCTCAGCTCTTCAGCTCAGGCTAGCACTCTATCACTTGAGCCACAGCACCACTTCCGGCTTTTTTCTTTTTTGCTTATGTGGTGCTGAGGAATCGAACCCAGGGCCTCAGCATGCAAGGCAGGCACTCTACCACTGAGCCACCTTCCCAGCCCCTCCATGAGAATCTTATCTCCAATAAACCACTCAGTAAACCAGAAGTGGCGCTGTGGCTCAAGTGGTAGAGCACGTGCCTTGAGCTTAAGAGCTGAGGGACAGCGCCCAGCCCAGGGTTCAAGCCCCATGACAGACAAAAAAAGAAAAAAGAAAAATGCTTGTCTTCCAAATACCTGATTTAAATTAAAAGGATAAGTGGCTCCACAAAGCAATTATATTTTTTGTTATTGTTGTTTAATTCAGTACATTTACTTTTTTCCTATAGGAATATTTCTCTTCTTTACATTCTAGAGGAAGAAAACTTAGACATCATCTGGTTCAGTAGACTTTCTTTGGGGAGAAACTTTATCCATATATCCAACCCCTCGGGGCCCTTGAGCACTTAGTAAGTGGATTTTTAATTTAACCAGGTATAAATACACCCCATGTGCAAACAAAATAGGGTCTGCTGATAAGATTTCTATTTTTGATTAACTGTCACTAAACTAGGAAATCCAAAAGAAATCCAGCTAGATTCAATATTAAATAAAACCAAGTTAATAACTTAGGGACTTGTACAGTCTTCCTACTATTAAGTGACACTCTGTACAAAGAGGAGGGTCCTTATTTTGAATAAAGACACAAAAGGGGATAGAAACAAAACTTAAAACATGTAAGTTAAAGCCACAAATCCTGAATAAGACAACCAATTACATCTGAGTCACTTATTTTACTGAGTCACTTGGGTATTTTAAAGTATTTTTAAATGACAGTATTCTCTCTGCTACTAATATATTCCAATAAATCTGTATAATACATACATGTTTCCACTCAGGGCATGTTAAGGACATAAAAGAAAATAAGGACAAGCCAGGCACAGGTGGCTCACGCCTGTAATCCTAGCTACTCAGGAAGCTGAGATCTGAGGATCGCGGTTCAAAGCCAGCCTGGGAAGGAAAGTCCGTGAAACTCTTATCTCCAATAAACCACTAGAAAACTGGAAGTGGCACTGTGGCTCAAGTGCACTGGCCTTGAAGAGCGCAGGGACAAGCCCAGAGTTCAAGCCCCAAAACCGACAAAAAAAAAAAAAGGACAATCAACAAACCTTTTAGTTTTACCTTGCTCCTTCCTTTTTACCAAAAAGCTTTGTAGGCTGAGTGTGAAAATGACTGAACATCATTCCCACTCTTCTGAGAAAAGCGGCCCACACAAGAAGCAGTGCTTCTTTCCCTTAGGTTCAATAATAAAGGTTCTGAAAGAATAAGGACAGCAGATACAATTGATCAAGGCTAAAAAAGATTTGGGGGGGCTGGGAAGGAGGCTCAGTGGTAGAGTGCTTGCTTTGCATGCATGAGGCCCTGGGTTCGATTCCTCAGCACCACGTAAGAAAAAAGAAAAAAGCCGGGATGTGCTGCTGTGGCTAAAGTGGTAGAGCACTAGCCTTGAGCTGAAGAGCTGAGGGACAGCGCCCAGGCGCAGAGTTCAGGCCCAAGGCTGACAAAAAAAAAAAGAAATTAATCCAAACTACAATCTCTTTGCTGCTTCATGAATCTACTTACAGATCCTGCTCTCTTCCTCTCCTCTCACCTCCTACTGAATCCTTTATTATAGAAGAAAGCTTTCAACCTTAAACACTGCTTCCTTGACCTAACTAGAAATTAAACCTCAACATTCCACAGACCTAGGCTGGGAAGGTGGCTCAATGGTAGAGCACTTGCCTTGCATGCATGAGGCCCTGGGTTTGATTCCTCAGCACCACATAAGCAAAAAGAAAAAAGCCGAAAGTGGCGCTGTGGCTCAAGTGGTAGAGCGCTAGCCTTGAGCTGAAGAGCTGAGGGACAGCGCCCAGGCCCAGAGTTCAGGCCCCACGACCAGACCAAAAAAAAAGATTTGGGAAGCTGGATATGGTGGCACAGGCCTATAATCCCAGCACTTAAGATGACTGAAGTAGGAGGTGTGTTTATTCCAACTGAATTTTTCCTCCTAAAAGAAAATCCATAACCCATTAGCAAACTAAAATTATCTTCACAATGGGCCCTACCTCCCATCTACTCTACCAATCTCTGAAAACTCAAGGCACATTGGCCCAACCAGATCATTCAAGAGCTTAATATTCAATATTTTTTCACTTAGCCTGTTTCTTAGTCCAGGACACTTAACTGGAAACCATCTCAAACTGCAAATTAAAAAGCTAAAGTTAGCGAATCACCAGTGGCTCACACCTACCTGTAATCATAGCTACTCAGGAGGCTGATATCTAAGGATCACAGTTCTAAGCTAGCCTGGGCAGAAAAGTCCATGAGACTCTTATCTCCAATAAACTACTTAGAAAAAGCCAGAAGTAGTGCTGTGGCTCAAGCAGTAAAGCACTACCCTTGAGCACAAAAAGTCTCAGGGACAGTGCCTAGGCCTTGAGTTCAAAAGCGCCAAGACCAGCCAAAAAAAAAAAAAAAGCTGCAGTTATTTAAGCACCAAGAACTTACTGGTCTTACTCTCAACTACAGCTCTTGCAAATTACAGCAATTCTGGCACACAGCAGACAATCAATATATAATTACAGGTAACCAAGAAAATTTTAGGTCCTAAATTCTTTCTTAAAATAATGTACTGAAATCAGAAAGGCACTGGTGGCACACATCTGTAATCCTAGTTACTCAAGAGGCTGAGATCTGAGGATCACAGTTGGAGGCTAGCCTAGGCAGAAAAGTCCCCTTAGACTCTTATCTCCAACTAACCACTCAAAAACCAGAAGTAAGTTTTGGCTCAAACTAGTAGAGCACTGGTCTTGAACAAAAGGGCTCAGGGACAATGCCCAGGCCCAGAGTTCAAGCCCCACGACCGACAAAAAAATAGATTAATAATAATAATCAATATGCTTCATTGGAACACATACTAAAATATATTTCTTTTTATTACAGGTGTTCTCAAGAAGTAAACATACATTATGCATTACTTTAATTTTCCTGATCTAAAGAAAGTTTAAGATAATTGACCAAAGCTACCAAGTCAAGGTTTGGACTTGTAATACATAGCCATTTCCAAACCTTAAAAAGTTAAGAGGGAAAAACACTCACACATAGTTTCATACTGTTTGTTCTACAGTACTCATGATTAATGCAAGGCTGGCTTTTTGCTTGTTATTTTTGAGATTGGGTCTCAGACTTTCTGCCCAAGTTGGCCCTGAACCACGATTCTCTGGATCCCAGCCTCTTTAGTAGCCAGGATTACAGGTGTAAGCCATCAGTGATTGGATTTCAAGTTCTTGTAAAGCAGGACACACTCACTACAGTCAATTATATCTTGGCTACCAGAACTCAAATTTAATTCATAATTTGCGTATTTACTGAGTGCCTACTGTGCACACAGCACTCTGCTAAACATTATATTAGGAATATTACTTGAGCAAAATATTAATACTTGCTATGGAAAAAAGTTACTGCTATAGTTTCTCTGGACATCAGGTACTAACTATCCATTGTAGGCCTCTAAAAATGCTTGTTAAACCAGAAAGCAATGCTCTAATTCCTGGAGAAATCCAGATTGCCAGGATCAGCAAAACTACATTAGAAAGTTAATAGCCTCCATCCTTAAAATATCCCAAGAGAAGAATGGAGCGATTCAAACTGTTAGCATGTGTCCAATGAATCTACACACTAATAGCCTTAGCAAAACTGCCAGATGCATTTCTAATTAAGAGGTCCGACCTTGATAAAGCATCATCAGTGGGATTTTCATGCAATTGGGTAGAAAGATTCAGAAAGCAAAAGCTCAGGCAAAATACGAAAAGCACACCTCAGCATAAACTAATCTGAGAGGGAGACGTCTTTCCTGCAACCTAGGAGCCGCTAGTTTGTGCTGGGAATCGGGCTCATTTTAATAGTGAGACCGACTGTAAATTCCAATACTCGGGGAGGCTGAGACCGGAGGGTGGTGAATTCCAGACCTATCTGGGCTAAATAGCCTTTACAGTCAAGAGGAAGGGAAGTGGTGTTTTGAGAATGGAAAATATACCGACTACATAGGGGCTGCCGCATAAATAGCACGACGAGAGACGGATAGACTGACAGACGCAGCCAGCCAGAGAGAGACGGAGAGAGACGCTGGGAAATCAAGAAAAGCAAGCGCCTCTTTCACCTGATCATCAGTTTTTACGTCTTTGCCAGCTTTTAAGGAAAGTTAACCAACTCCCCGGGAGAGGTCAGGTTTGCAGGCTAACACTTGGCTCCCACGGACCCCGGGCATCTGGGGACGGACGGGCTCGGAAGCGCCCAGACGCTGCAGGCAGCAGCGCCGAGCCCGCTTGAAAACCCTTCCCCGCGTCTCCCGGGCCGCGGCGCCGGGGAGGCCGCCCGACCGTGCGCGGCGGGAGCAGGTGTCGGCGCCGGCCTCGGGCGGCCGAGCCGGCGGAGCTGCCCCCCCCCCCCCGCCCCGCCGCGGGCCGGGAACCCTCGAGTTGTAAGAAGACAACTCCAGGGGGCCGCGAAGCCGCCGCCCCGGAGGCCTGGGGGGCTGCGGCCCCTCCGGCCGGCCCGCGGGGAGGAAGAGGACAGCTCGGCCGGGCTGGAGGACACGAGGGTCACCGGCGGCCGGTCGGGACGGCCCCGCTCCCCCTCGCCGGCTGCGCCTCCCGCCGACGCTGGGAACGAACCTCCGGCTTCCCCCGGCCGGACGCGGACCGCAGAGCTCGCTCCCCCCACGGCCCCGACCCCGAGCGCCTCGCCCGAGCCCTCCTCGGAACGCAGCCCGGGCCCCGCGGCTCGACCAGCGGCCAGGCCGCGGCCCGGCGCCCCTTCCCGCCTCACCTGAGCGCCCCGACCGCTCCGTCCCGCGCGGCCGCCCCGCGCGCCCCGTCGGGGCACGCACCGACCCCGACAGGCACTGTCCCGGCCCGCGGGGACTCGGGAAGCGAGGGCCGCCGCCGCCGCCGCCTCAGCGCCAGCGCCCGCCCGCAGCCGAGCGTCACGGTCCGAGCCTCCCGCTGAGGTCAAAGCGAATCCCGCCGCCTCCGCAGCGTCCACCGACTCCACCACCAGTTCCCTTCAGCCGTCCGCGCCGCCCCAAGAAAATGTCACCAGAGGCCGTTCCGCTCTGCGCCTCACTTCCGCCCGGAACCACCGAGTCCGCGCCCGCATGGCTAGAGTGGCCGCTGCGGCGGGAGACCTCCAGGGACTGGAGCCCCAGGCCCGGGAGAAAGCCAGACAGCGCCACCTGGCGGGCCCGGCTCCGCGCTCCTCCCGCTGCAGAGCGCCAGAGCAAGGACACCGGCTTCTAGGACTTTTTTCCCGCGCGCCCTGTTTTGGTTCAGAAAACTCCCTTCCAGAAACGTCTTTCCCAAAAGGGGAAAAAAAAAAAACAACAGCATTCAACGCAAGACAAGGACAACGCTTTAAGAAATGGAGGGTCTTGCCCTTCTTCCCGTGTGCTGCCCAGCACTCACCTGCTCCTGAAGCCTTCCCGAGGGAAGCTCTCGATGTCTGGATCCTTCGATCACTCCTGCGGGGAGTCCGCTGCCTCCTCTCGGAAGAAAACAGCCGCTCGGCTCTGGGGGACCCGGCTGCGCTCTGGCGCTGTGGAACCAAGATCCCGTTCAAGTTTCGGCCCAGGAACCCGCGGGCCTGGCGAGCAGCGCGCCACCTGCTGGTGAGACGGTGGGACGGCCGGCAAGCCGACCCCGCTCGGTCCTGTGGGCTCCCCAAGCCCCAAGTTCCACTCTGCAGCCCGCGGATCCCGGGTTTTGTCGGCCCATCCTTAAGGTGAGGACCAAGAGGAACACTTGCTGGACTCTGCACGTGGAGAAAGGTGATGCAGCCGCAGGCTACCTGGCAGGAAGAAGGCTTCCCGAGAAGATGCTGAGGACAACCTCGCAACTCAAGATCTAGCTCCCTAAAGGGAGCGCAGGGTTTCAGGAGAGAAGAAAGGATTGAGAAGAAAACGTTAGCGTTCTCCACCTTTTAAAGAACTGTTCTAGAACCTTCCTTGGAGGAGATTCTGTATGTCTGTACAGTACGGAGGCCACACTCACCCTCACATAAGTCACCCCTTTAGACCCAACTCCCTCAAACTCCTCTCGTTCACCCAACTTTACTATTATATTTTTTATATTTTATTGCCATAAAATAATGGTGCTATTCGCTAGGTACTGGGTGCCATTTCAAAACATGTACTATATGTAATGATCAGACAGGTAAGTGACAGTATCCATCACCTTGTATGTGTATTATTTGTGTTGAAATAGTCACAGCCTCTCTACTAGCTACTTTTTAATCATTATTGTCAACGATCATTATCCTATTGCACTAGCCAACATTGGAAGTTTTCCCTCTTACCCAGCTATATCTTTGTATCTGATAGCCAGCCTCTCTCTCCATCTCGTCCTCTCTCACATCTTTTACAACCCTCCTACTCTGAGATCAACTTTTTAACCCTTCAGCATATAAGTGAGAATGAGGTATTTGTCTTTCTGTGCCTGACTTATTTCACTTCATACCATGCCTTTCCATTCAAATATGCAAATGATAAAATTCATTCTTTTTTAGAGCTCAATATGATTCTAATACATATATCACATTTACTTACTTCACTCATGTCAATAGACACCTAATTTGAGTCCATCTTTTGGCTTCTGTGAATAGTACTGTAATAAGCATACAAGTACAGATATTTCTTCAACATACTGATTTCATTTCCTTTAGTTGTATACCCCATATAGTCCATTCATTCTTGCTTACTGCCTATAGACACAGGGATTTTCTGTCTCAGGATAAATGGTTATACAAAAGGAATAATAGCTAACTTTTGTTAAAATGGTTACTATTACCAGACAAGCACCATACTCTTTAAATGGATTCATTCATTCACTTAATACTCATAATAACCCTATAAGTTTGATGGTTTACAAATCCCAGTTTACAAAGGCATAAGGCAGTGAAATTTGGAGAAATGCTAACTCTCTGCACTTTGGTAGCCACAAACATTGTTCAGCCAAGTCACTGCTTCTAGAATTAACTTTACTTGCTCTGCCTTGCAGCATCCTTTAATGAAAACAAGATGCTTCCTCTGCACAGTAAAAATTAAAAAAAAATAAATCTTACACTTTGGGGGGAGGGAAAGTGGGTGAAAAGGAGGGAAGAGGTAACACTGTTCAACAAGAAACGTACTAATTACTTTACTTATGTAACTGTAACTCCTATATATCACCTTTACAATAAAATTAAATTAATTTTTAAAAAGAAAAAAAAAGACGCATCCTCTTTATGGAAGGCCCTGATTAAGAAACATCAGAAGGCTGGCTATGTGGCTTAATGGTAGAGTGCTTGCCTAGCATGCCTAAGGCCCTGGGTTCCATTCCTCAGAACCACATAAGCAAAAGAATCATAATAATTGTTTTTATAAAAGAAGCATTCAGAGGACAATGATAGACCTGATGCTCTGGAGTCTAATAGAATTTGGACCTAGTTCTGCCAAATTCTAGAATAAGACTGTAATGTCCCTGAGACCTAATATTCTTACCTGTCCAACAAGGATAGCCTTATATTAACTTTCACAGGTAAAATGAGCAAAGAATATCAAGCTCACACACACACACACACACACAATTCTTGGTTTAGAGAGATACTTTAAAATGGGGTTAGCCTTCCAGTGGCAGTGTCCCAAGTCACAACTTGGGAGTCCTAAGGCACATAGATTCACAATACTACAATACAGTGAATTTCCATCTGAACATAATTGTTTTTCCAAATCAACAAGTTCTCACGGAACCAGAACCAGAATGGACCAGTACAGAGGATGCCATCAAAGTGAAGCGAGAAAGCAGGCAAGGGTGGCTGGGAGGGACATGTCCCCTAGGCTGAATGGCTCTTCTGTTGTAGGTAAAGTGCTCTGGAACCAAGTCCTTCTTTCCAATCAGGTGAAATATAGAACAATTGTTAACTTAAAAAAAAAAAAAAGTGAGCCTGGCCCAGTGGCTCATGCCTGTCATTCTAGCTACTCAGGAGGCTGAGATCTGAAGATCTTGGTTCAAAGCCAGCAGGGGCAGGAAAGTCAATGAGACTCTTACTGCCAAATTAACCACCAGAAAACAGAAAGTGGCCCTGAGGCTTAAAGTAATAGAGTGCTAGCCTTGAGCAAAAAAGCTTAGGAACAACAGCACCTAGGCTCTGAGTTCAAGACCCACAACTGACAGGGAAAAAAAAGCAGTTTTTAATTTACCAGCAAGTATATATTTTCCTCTCTTTTTTTAATGAAAGGAATCACCTTGTACAATAAGATGTTGAGCCTTGTAGGTGCTTAAATTGTTTTTGCTGAATAGCACTGACTCCTTACTTGGACCCACAAATTAAAAGCAGGATTAAGCTATGAATTCTCCATTTTGTATCTGCCTCCTTTGCCCTGGCCATTCTCCAATGCAGTCTCTTTACAACCATCTTGGGATCCAGTAAGGACTGGATCACCTGCCAGGCATCAGTACTTCGTTTATACTGACCACACTCCTCTCCTCAAATGATAAAGCCAGTAATGGAGTCCAGCAACACTCCCAAAACAAGGACCCATACAATGACTACTGAAACTCTGAACACACCTATGCCTGGAACTGTTAATGCATACCATTCTCTCCTTTTCCCCAGTTCTTTATCTATAGAGTTATGTCTTTATTCCAAGGATAGAATAGCCTGAAATGCTATCTAGTCTGTATCACATAATAAATATCTTTTCTCTACCCATCACCATGTCTCTTTATTTGGCACATAGGGTTTGTGAACTGCCAGACTTATTATGTAGAATCCCAGGATTTGGGGGCTGGGGTCCAAAAACTCCAATTTCCTCTGAGGGCAGGAGAAACCTCATCTAACCAGCACCACCACTTTACACTAGAGCACCTGTTTGTTTCCTTCATAATATGTACCCCCATGTGCATGTTTGATATCATCTATCATACATACCATAGAGTAGAGCCATGAGGGTGGAGACCCTGATATCCTGCTTGGCCTTCCTCAAGTGCACTCAGTGTCCATGTCCTAAATGGAGAAATCAGCACTGAGATTCAGACCTGAAAGGATGTCAAAACAAGGAAGTCTTGCCAGGTTCCAAGTGTGTGAAAGACTAGAAGGGCTGGAACCCTGGAGACAGAACAGATGGGGGAAGTCCAGAACCTGCCTCAATATGTTTAAACTGGAGAAAAAGAACCTGCGCCCTCCAGACACAGGTCACCCTCCCTAGCCCCTTAATGTCTACTACAAGGTCTGGCAGATAGAATACACTCAATAAACGCTCCTGACTGAGGGACAAGTGTATTCAGCAGCTGACCTTGGGGAAGGGGCTGAATGTCTAGGATATTTGGAGAACAACTTGGGTCAGGATGTCTCCTGACTGAACACCAGAAAAGCCAGGAAAAAAGGAGGTTGGAAGGAAAAACATAAAGAACCTAGGCTTTGTTTGATTTATTTATCTATTTATTTACTTATTTGTTATTTTTGGTCCAAGCAAGTAAACCTAGGGTTTAATATATGTTAAGAATAACCATACCACTGACCTATCTGTAACTCCCAGCTCACAGGATTTAACTTTTTAAGCACTAATGGGAAAGATATACATGAGGTTCTTACCTAGACTTTTACTGAGTGTCATGGTCAAGACCAGCAGAAAACTAGATCCTCCCCTGATCCACTGTCAACTTGTTAACGAGGGAGTGAAAGACTCAAATTGACCACTCATAGAAGTTCTGGGAGAAAAGGCTGAAACCCAAGACTGTGGAAGAAGGATAGGGAAAGGAAAGCGTGGAAAAAGGAAAGACTTCCAACCCTAGGGAGCTACCATATGGATGGTCACCAAGATGAAGAACTTGGGAATGAAAGACTTGGCTCCTAAGGGCCCTAGATAATACTCTCCTTTCCACTGTCTCATCTCCAACTCCAAAAATTACAGTATTTGAATATCTATGAGGACTTCCTAGTTCTTGCACACACATATACCCTGGGAATTTCTGGTTGTAGTAGTCTTGTTATCCACCTTACTGTAAGAAATGAGGAGTGAGCAAGAGCAACCAATATGATCTCAAGGCTTTGTTGGGGGACAGACCTGCCAGG